GATATCACTCGACTATAGGGTTTCTATGTGTGTCACCATCTCTTGGATCACGATATCACTCGACTACGGCGCTACTAGATTACGTAGATCTGACCATAGATTGTCAGATTGATAGAACAGTGAGGTGAGAGTAAGAAATCATTTCATTCATCTGCCCGTCTAGGCTTCTTCTGAATACCACAGCTGTGGCCAATGCGACCGGGTGTCTCAGTCCTCGTCTCAGTCCTCGGCTTCCTCCACATTAGTCTCCCCTTCGGCGACATCGGCCTCGTTGGCAGGAGTGGCCATGGCAGCTCCCTTCTTGCGTCGTGGAGTACCCTTGAGGCCCTTCTTCTTGAAGCCGTATTTCTGTTGCAAGCGAATCAATCGCATGCGACATGCTGCCTTGTTGATGCCAAGGGTGTTGGCTGCGGCCTGGTGATCGACCTGTGGTGAGCTTTGATTAGTATACCATACAGTCCAGCAGTTAGGTATTAAGTGAGAGATAACTGACCTTCACGGTATCGAGAAGGGTTAAGAGGAACTCCTCGTCACTGGCCTTGGGGGCCTCTACCTCGGTCTCAGCCTTGGCCGGGGGCTTGACATTGAGCTTGATTCTGAGCTTGGCCTTGGGTGCAGCAGGCTCCTTGGCTTTGCTCGTGGTATCGGTCACTGGAGCCATGATCAAATTTGTTTGTTGATAGATAGATGTGATGGAAGTGATGGATAGTTGGATCAAAGTCCTGAGTGTGGATGATAAGTCCGAGAGGTTATGTGTTGAAGAGTAGAAGAAAAACAGACAGTAACAAGCAATTGGAGGGCTTTTATATCTTTGGGTTTCAAACAAACGGGGAATCAATACAACCGGTACTCAGTCATGAATTCTGGTTCCAATACGATAGACTACCCGATACAGCACATGTTAGATCCCCGTGAAGCAATGGTGTTATTTTCAGTATCTTTATCTAGAATACACAAGCAAGAGCACTCGGTTTGGAACCGATAGCAACCCAGGCTGCTCGAGACACCGACCTCTGTTGAGACTTGACTAGAGCCGAGCTTACATTCCCAATGATCCTGTTGATATATCGCAGGTCACAGGTCCCTTTCCTGTAGACAGAGTGGACTGGCTATCATTACTTTCACTTTGTAGGTACATTTCCGCTAGCCCTACACTATAACCTTCCCGTCCTCGAATGTGAAATCGTGAATGCAGCATAGAATCGGCCGCTAGGAAGCGAAGAGAATGGAGATGGCCGCAGATACTCTTTGCTTAAGGTTATTGAGACATCTACAAGGGGTCACAGTTTCCTAAATGGATATGTGCCTAGTCATTTGAGGCTCTCGCCATCCCCACGGGTGCTTTACAGATGGATACAAATCTCTTCTCTGCTTTTCCTTGGGCCCATGGAAAAGCCAAAAGATACATAAGACTGACAGGTAGAAGGCAGAGAGATTGAGAGAAAAAGGAAATACGTAAACAAACAATGTTCAAGACCGAAAACGAACAGCAGCCCCAACCTACGTCAAACAAAACATCCAAAATGAGACAATTCCCTCAACCACATGACAATGATACATATGTCCTATATTTCTACTTGCCTCTCGTCTCACAGAAGTACAGGCTTAGTATAAAGCATTTCAAGCTTCAGTAGAGAAAGGTAGGATATATAGGCTAGCGAGCTTGGAGTATCTATAGATACCTTGCCTAAACCGTCTCTGATACCGGGTTGAGGAGCTATACGACTATGCGTAACACATTCTGTTATCTTTTACCAACTCTGTGGAGCAAAATATATAATGACTATAAGTCAACTTTGGCGGCTGGAATATCTGCACAAGCGTGTTTTTTTGATAGGGAATGAGCTCTGTGATTGAATCGTCTGGCCACTTAGTAACTACCTTTTCACATCAAAAGACGAACCATCTACAGATAACCACTATAGTTTTGATTTGACACTGATACTGATACCTAGGTAGCGCAAACGAGTGTGTATTGATAGAGAAGTGACAATAGATTTAAATCCAAAGTGACAAAAAAGCCTGCGTACAATTCATAAACAATAAATCGTCTCGCAGACCCGAATCCAACGAAAGAAAAAAGTTCCAACCAATCTTTCCCATGATATAACCAATATTCCCTATAATGTATACAGTACTGGGCAATTGAGTCAATTACTCCCAAGACATCAGACCCTCACCTCCACTGTACAACAAACACGAGGCGCGAAAGCTGTCTTGCGTGTGACATCAAACATCAATTCATATCAGAGGTCCAAGACTAGGTTCAGCGTAGTAATAGATGGCGAGAAGCCACTTGGTCGCTCAGCTACTCAGTGTTTACTGAGGGGAGCCGGTGGGAGCGGGATAGTCAGTGGGGAAGCCACTGGGAATGCCGCTTGGGAAGCCCGAGGGAAGAGTGCCAGTGGAAGTCAGGAAGCTGCTGGGGGGAGGTCCGTTGTGGGGAGGCCCTTGATGGCCGGGTCCCGAGTGGAACTGGCGCTTGTCGAAGGGGAGACCAGTGGGTGCAGGGAAGTCAGTGGGGAAACCACTGGGAATGCCACTCGAGAAGCCCGAGGGAGAAGGACCAGTCGGAATTGGGGAGCCGCTAGGAGGAGGTCCATCGGGGGGAGGACCATGATGACCGGGTCCAGAGTGGAACTGGCGCTTGTCGAAGGGGAGGCCAGTGGGAATGCCGGTGGGAGTGCCGGTGGGAGTTTCGCTGGGGATGGGCGCATCACTGGGGGCGCCGGCGAAAGGCGGGGGACCCTGGGGCAGGGTGCCGATGAAAGGAGAAGGACCCTGGGGAAGGGCGAGGGCACAGCCCATCATTCCCATAGCAGCGATGCTGATGTACTTCATTGTGATTTGTATAGATTAATTGGAAGATATATCAAAGTAAAGAATAGAGAAATTTAGATCAGAGATCAGATATATAGGTGGTATATCAAGGACAGATTTTATAGCTCAGAGAAAAAAACATGGAGGGTCTAGGACGGGTTTATAAGTCTGCGGATTTATCAAGCTTGTTGCAAGGCCGAAATGGATTCCGTGATCGCGCCATGATTTCAGTGTTGTTGCTTTCTCAGAGGCTGGGCAGGCCGGAAGGTGGATTGGCCGGACGATGATACCTTAAAGCGGTACGGAGTAGAAGTGGGCTCGTCGATCTTAACTTGGGGGACGCTAGGGTCGTCAGGGACCAGGTAGACAGCACCCGTGGATGGGCAGAGCTCTACACATGGCCTGGGCTGAGGTATTTTCACCGGATGGTTCGCTGGTCAGCCAACGCGTAAGAGAAGGTAAAAAGTTGTCATAGGCATTCGACAAGGAAAGTATCGACGGTACAGTTGGGCTACAGACGCCACAGCCAGGTACCAAACATTAGTGCGACGATCATGTTCCGCGTGCAGAATAACATAAAAGCAAATCGATGATTGTCAGGATGGTCTGACCATATCAATCCCTTCCCTCACATCCGTCGTACATAACAGGTTCGCGACGTGGTACGGCCGAGGGCTCTCACTCGACTTCAGGGCGCCTGGTGCGAGTTCCCCTTTTTCTGAGGCTGTATCACATCATGTTAGAGATGATGTCCTCATCCCTCTATTTTCCGACGTCATTAGACTTTATCCGTAACAGAATGGCTGGTCACTCGTTTCATGTGCATAGACTTCGCCAGACTTTGCTTAGCAGGATGCGCTGGTTGTCCACGGACAAGGGTGGACTCAAGGTGGCTAGAAAACATGAACAGAGTCACCGATTGATAAATGGGGACCAATGGTTAACGACTGATCGGCAGGGTGGAACACCTTTGTTCCAATATTTCTGAGTTGAGAACATTTAGGCTGATTTTGGATCCGCAGGAGAGGCGCTCAAAACAACTCAAGAAGTCTCCCTAAGGTTGAGGTAGGATGTGCTCCACTGGAATGTAGAAAATCTCGCCTCTTTCTGCAGAAGATCTAGAACCATAAGGAGTAGAGAACCATAGGTCGTTATCCTCGAGGTGGCCTGGAACATTATTGATGGCCGAGTCGTCGTCAGCCCTGGGGAAAGGGTCCACAGTGGAACCCCGTGATTGATATAGACTGGACGTTGGTAGTGGACACTTCCACTTTTCCCTTGAACACTTGCAACATCTTTCAACATGAGGATTACGGAAAAATATAGACTGTTTCGTGTTTCGTTTCAATATATCGGCATATCGACGTATATTGCACATCCATGGATTGCATGAACATGTGAAACGTGTGTCTCCATGACCCATCACCCTAAATTGCGAATTTGCCGATTGTTTCCTGATATTGATTTGCTTCCGACCTCCACTAGCTTCTTTCTAGTTGGCTTTCCAAGGACGCGAAGCATCCTTTTGTGGCTATTAAGCTCACTCAGCGGCATGTTCCCTGGGAAATAGCTTAGCTTCAGGGCCATTAGCGCCGACGGTGGAGAATGGTATCACGATCAACCCTTGAATGTAGAATAATATATCTTTATTAACTTAAAATTGGCTACGAATAGCTACGAATAGCCCCTTAAAGGTTTCGACTGTTTCATCTGAGGATTCAACGCCCCATAGTGTGTACGTGAAAATTTTCCCCGCTAAAAACAGAAAACCGCTACATGCATGTCATATGTTGTAGATAGCAAACAGAAAGGAAACGAACAAATCCGGCGGATTCGATATGCAAGGTGGATAACCAAGAGGTGGTCTAGTACGATAATATCCGGTTGCATAGACAAACACCCCTTTCTATAGATGCCAGCAACCCGGAGACAACGATAGACAAAGGGAGGGAATATGACCGAAAAAAATGTAGTGGATGCTCGGCTGTAGGTGTACGGAATTATAACAATCGGCAAGAATAAAAAAGCCTTCCTGTCCGAGTGTCCTACATCGTACACGGTATTCGGGTAATTTGAGGGGCGAGCTTGTACTTCGTACGTGTCAAGAATCCGGAGTATGCGGCCTGTGACTCCCGAAAAAGGAAAGAATCAAGTAAGCTGCACAATTGCTTGTATATTATTCAAGTCTGCCGCTTGCGCCTGAGGGGCTCAGGCGAGCTCGGAAGGAGTGTTGGCGTTGGAGTCATACTGAGCAGATGGCGGGATGAAGGTGGTATGGTCACGGAGAAATCGCGAGCCGACGGCGTATAAACCTGCTTTGGGGAACTGCGACGAGCCGTGGAGGAGAAATTGTAGGCCGGGTTAGAGGATAATGATGATCGTCGGGACCGGACAGGGCTGCGGGGCCCGTGGCTCGGAGCTACTCTGCCAAATGAAGATGACTCTGAGAACGTTCGGTGGCCTGCGAGTTTGGGACGAAGCATGTATGATCGTTCGAGCTCGTCATCGCTGCTTGACCCAATATCGAATATCCCTCCGTTGCTGAAGAATACTGAGGATGTACGGCGGTGGGTCCTTGTTTGGGTTGGCATGAAGATTGACTCGCTTGATTGCGAGAGAGGCGGGTTCTCTAACGAAACAGTGCTTCGTTCCTTTCTCAGTTCGTGGTCTGGCCGACGTAGTTCCTGCCCACCCGACTGCCTCTTTTCAAATTCGGGGCTGTGGGACCCTCTTCGCCTGTCGCGATAACGTCCCCTTCCGTTGCTGTCTGCCGAGTCAATCGAGTGACGACTATGGTGCGGCATACGTAGATCAACCTGACTTGGACTGAAGGCTACCCGGGCCCGCATATTTTGAATTGCATTATCGAGTGCCAGCTCAATGGCGCAGTGGTTTCGGATACGGCTTAGTCTCGGCCATGTCGCCCGCTCGCCACTCAGGCATGATGAAAGCATGAACTCCTTTGTGGGATTCTCCAGGAGCCTTGGGAGGTTAGAGGAAAGGAGTTCTGGGTATATGTTGATGTCTCCATGATATTTCTGGTTCACAATAGAGGCAAACTTGGTCATTGATGTTGGAAAGACTCCAAGTTCTGAGAGGACGTTCATCCGATGCAGGACCTCGTCTTTGGCAAGGTGCGCCATCATGTTCATCCATCGAGGAATGAACGAAGGGCCGTCGTCTGTCGCATCCTGTGGGCCTGTTTCCTTTGGAAGGAATGGAACCACATGGGGGTTCACTTGGGAGACAATGAAGTGATTCACGTTAAACATCTCCGATAAGCGTGTCATGGGTAAATCTCCATCGACCGAGCCATCAATATACTGTTTGTGAAGATCATTCCAGGGGACCGGTTCCCCTGTCAACGGATCTTTAGCCATCAACGTGAATGGCCTAAAGACAAAAGGAACAGAGCATGATACAGCGCTTGAAAGACGTTAGAAATGGATTGATGATGTGAAAAAGGGGGAACTTACACAGCAGACCAGATCAACACATTGGGAGCAGAAATATAGTTCAACAGCCGTGGAAGCTCATACATGCCGGCACTTGACACACAGATATTTAGGATTCTGCGGGTGCGGTTATATGCTTCCTGAAAAGTCATATCCCCCAGCCAGTTTCTGATAGTCTTCGCCAAGTGAGATATGTCAAAAAATGATCCAAACTTCAAAAAACGAGTCATCTTCTGCAAGATATTTTCCTCTTGGCCCTTTTCATTGAAAACGTCGAAATCCCCATGTACATAGGTATCCAAAAGCGCCGGAAGCTCTTCGTCTGTGCGCGTGCAAAATACCGCGCACACAATGCTACCAGCCGAGGCACCTGAGATAATTCGAGGAATCATTTTTGCTTCATAGAGGGCCTTGAGAACCCCGATATGGGTCATGCCAAAAGTGGCACCACCGGAGAAAAGGAGAGCACTGCGACCAAATGCCTGTCGAGCTGCCAGGAGCTGGTCCAGGATATACTTCAGCTCCAACCCATCACAGCGATCATGCACCGAGAGATCCACCAGCGTAGCGATAGTATCCAAAGCCGTGGTGATATACCTATCGATCAAGTCCTTTGTACCAATATGCGAATGGCGATAGAGAGAGGCATTGCTCATATGCGCCAGGTCCCGACTCAGCGCAGTACGCACCAAGAACAACATCCGGCTTACATCACAGCTGATGCGAGCCTCTTCCAACTGTCGCAAACGATCCTGTACCAAACGAGGATCATATTCGGTGCACTCGAGTGTCTGCTTCCAAGCGTTGTTATCCTCTAGTTCATCCAGTTCACTGGCGCAACTTCGCCATTCTTCGTACGACACAGCCTGCAGCCCAAGGGTTAGAAAGGGTCACCCTGCAGATGCGATCGCTCGGCCCAGGTACACCGCATGTACATACATTCTTTATTTTCAGATACAGGACTTGCTTGCGGTCCTCGATGTCCGCCCTTTGTTTCCGTTGTTCCTTCGAGAGACCATCACGGTAGGTGTGCAGAGTATCACCGGCCCAATTCCACGAATCCTTCACGAGTGACGATACGGTTGGGATGGAGATCGTTTTGCGGAGCGGTCGCGGAGGTAAGGGTTGGGGTAAAGAGTATTCTTGGGAGTGTTTGCGCCCATGATGGCACTGAACTAATGTGGGGTCGCCCAACACCGACATGGTAGGCCTGTGCATTAGAGAAGCAAGCCATTCAGCCGGGGTGTGAAATGCGGAGATCTGTTAGCTCCGGAATGAAACTATTATAATAAAGACGAAACCAGTAAACGAGTTATAAAAGTAGAGATTCCCCGGATTCAAGTCAAGTTTGGCGGTGACCTAACAAACGTCACGAGGGCCAATGGTAGCCATTTTCTTCAGGCTCTTTGAGCCACTTGGTTCCTTTTATGACGATTTCACTATCACATGCCATACACTATTCTACTACTCTAGGAAAAGATGTGCGATATACAATATTTCTTCTATAGCCGATGATATCAGAAGACATGATCTCACCCCACGATCAACCTCATATCGGACAGTGGGGAAGCATTGCTGCATGGTCATCACCTTTCCCTTTGCGTTTTAGTGCTTATTCCTTGCCGCTTTTGCTCCCTGAGCACGCCCTGAGTCTTACATAATCAGGTGAACACCCAGATCACCTGATAATTACATAAGTTGAATACAGGTCAGGTGCCCAGATGAGCACCTGACCTCGTGAATCTTGCCCAAAGCGTGGACACTATTGATGACATTTGTGCGATGGATTGATTTAGTTAGCTGGAATGCATGAAGTTTGACAGGCCCGACTGATAGTTGAAATTGCCATGCCCGAATCATTTGATTTCCATCTGGCTAACTATCTGACACACTGGTAGCTCAGGGGAATGATGATGATGATATTAGCTAGCTACGGTAGCGGGGTAACTAGTTACAGTAGGGTCACGTGCACCCCTCCGAGGGTAACACTATCCATGTTATGAATAGCATCCTTTTCTGATCCGGATTGGCCTTATAGACCTCGTTCGTTTTCCTGAATTACTACATTCTACCAAAGCTCTTCACTGCCACCTCATTCTAAAACACACCTGCTCTTCATTGAGACGTATGGTACGGTACTACTGATTGTCCAGGAGGGTACGACGCATCAGACTCGCTGGGTTTTCGTTTCCACATGCTATCCAGGTGTACAGTAGTACCAAGAGACAGTGGACTACCATTGAGCCCACGAAGCGAGACGCGGGAGGAAGGGAGAAGAACCATTGCATTGTACGACTTCCAGTATGTCCCCTTGGCAGGCGTACTGTCCAGTACCAGCCCTATCAATGGCAGCGGCTTGGAGGCGACCTCGCGGAGCGTGATCAGAAGTTGGGTTGCGGTGTTGGTACCTCCATTTGAGAAGGTATGCAGTAGGATTCGCGGTGCGTTGTCGACAGAGCTGGTTTCTGTCTCTGCTAAAGTCTCCAGTACGATGTCTACCACAGGTCGGATCCGGCGACGTTGGCGTGCGTAGCTGCTCACCAGTATCGAGACATCAGACTCGATCAACAAAATCCGGGCGTGTGGTGCAATAGACCGATAGAGGTCGGTGTATTTTCCGACATGCTTGGGTGAAGCCCCAAGCCAGGTACAGATAATAATCAATTGGCCAGGAATAGCCTTCTCAGGGTTGGAGAGCCAAGTGTTTGCACACAAACGCGTAGATGGCATTACAGACCTGCAAAAGATATTAATGCTCGGCCCTCGGTATGTGCCTTGCAGGTGACAAGGATGTCCACATACTGCATGATGACAAATTCGGGGACTTTTTTCTTTGTTGCTTTTCCGAATCTGGCGCCTGAGGTATTTCACCACATGGGGATTCTCGACTGCGTTTGGTGCCTTTCAAAGCTACTACCAATCCGACCTGTTGCGCGACAGCTCTCCGTCCCGAATCGCCTGGGTCGGCACCGTCAGTGCCTTTCTACTCATTTCCACTGGGGCTATTGCCGGTCCCCTGTTTGATCGTGGATACTTGCATCATCTGATGATCGCCGGTTGCTTCTTGACTACTCTAGGACTCATGATGCTGAGTTTGTCCACCGAATATTACCAAGTGATGCTTTCGCAAGGAGTGTGTGTGGGCTTAGGTAGTGGTCTGATCTACGTGCCTAGCCTTTCTCTGATTTCCACCCTCTTTACTACGCGACGCGGTATTGCTGTTGGACTAGTCACCTCCGGCGCCAGTGTTGGTACGGTCATTTGACCCTTCTACTCTTCGTTTTTCTTCGATCCGATTACCAGGACCAAATCTGACATCGACACAATCTAGGTGGGGTTATCTTCCCCGTCATCTTTATCCGACTTCAGCCGTCAATTGGATTTCCGTGGACAGTGCGTGTTATGGGCTTCATCCAGCTGGCCTGCTCGTGCATCGCCATCCCCCTTCTAATGGCCACCACCAAAGCTCGCCATGGTGCCCCTCGACAGCTCATCCACTGGCATGCCTTTCGGGAATGGAGCTTCAATGCCTACGCGGTCGCCAATTTTTTCATGTTTATGGCCTACTTCATCCCGCTCTTCTACTTACCCACCTTTGCCTCGGTTGCCCTGCACACCTCCACCGAGCTGAGTTTCTACATGGTTTCAATTCTCAACGCGGGCTCCGCCTTCGGTCGTATCGGCTCCTCCTTGCTCACCCCTCATCTGGGCGCCAGCACTGTTCTGCTCACTAGCGTCCTCGCCTCAGCCGTGATCCTCTTCGGCTGGACAGGTATCCACTCTATCCCCGCTTTCGTCTTATTCTGTGTCCTTTTTGGCATCTTCTCCGGGGTATTAATCTCCGCCAACCCATTGGTCATCGCTCATCCCATTGTCTCACCAACGCCCTCGGTTATTGGGACGCGCATGGGTATGCAGTGGTTTGCCACTAGTCTGGGGGTGCTGATTGGAGCGCCGATCGCAGGTCTTAATGAGGGTCATGGGGGAGATAACGGCTTCCTTGGGTTGCAGATCTTCAGTGGAATGGCAATGATAGTGGGAGCTGCGTTTCTCCTCGTACCAATTATGGCGATTTGGCGTCACGATAAACCCGTTTGAGTGCTTGGGGTTCTAGAGTTTAAAATACATACATGTTCCATCCCCAGTTTAACGGGACGACTAGGGTAGGGCCGCGTGTTTATCAGTGGAGTTGCATTCGTGCTTATGCGAAGTACAGTGGCGTTTCATTAATATTTAAACCCCAGTACTTCCACCACTGACCGCTCTTTTATACCGCCTGCCTATTCCTACTAGTATACACCTCCCGTGCGTACTACGCGTTAGTAGTTACTAGTCAGTAAATAGGGGGTTTGAATGTGAAGTTTCCTACCGGCAGAAAATAAGTGGGTCCTCGGCCTTCCGATGTACTGGGGTTTAAATATTAATGAAACATGACTGTACAACGCTTGCATACATTTGGTTTATAACCTGACAATACACACAGTATCAGAAAGATTCCATACCCGTACCGTACCGTACATGACCCTGGACTGGACCCTTACCGAAAGTGACGTTATCGGATTCACCTAACCCTAATTGGCATGCATACCTTCCGCTTGAATCTAACACAGAATGTAGATATTACACAATTATAATTCATTATTTACTTATAAATCTGACTTAAATGAGGTAGACTACCCACTAAATGTACATATACTTATTCGTTATACCCGCTATGCTTCTCTGAGCCGTTAATATTCGAGGTGGAAGCTACTTTATGCATTAGTATATCCCAGGTGTCTATATCTGATCATAGGGATTTTTTATCTATCTTTGACTAGCCACGTCAGCTTTGGAGAGACTAGATATGCATACATAGAGATATGGAGCAGAAAATAAGTCGTTAGTACGGAGTAAGGCTCGTGAAATATGGGCGGGCAGATGGAGACGTATTTCTAACGGACATTTCTTGATTAGATTGATAGCATTTCTTTCCTGTTGGAGTGGATCAGCCACCTCAACAACGGAGAGGCCGATATGCATATGTATGGATATGGAGTAGAAAATAAGTCGTCATCAATTTTCGTGGATATAGGAAGGGGGAGAGGTAAGCGGGATTCCTAACGGGCATAAGCCTCGATTTGGTTGATGTTCTGCTTTCTTCGGGTTAATTGGACTGGCTCTCTGAAAGTTAAAGCAAGCACTATGCACATGCAGGAATATGGAGCAGAAAATACGTCGTCAGTAATGCTCGGGGATTTGTCAAAGGGCGGAGGAGGGCCGTATTCCCAACGGACATGACCCTGAATTGGCTGCTGGTGCTTTTATGTGGATTAACTGGAATTTTTATCTGAAATTGGAGTAACTAATATGCACATGTAGGGAGTTGGAGCAGAAAACAAGTCTTTGATGGCGCTCGGGATACATGAGCTGTTAGAAGAGCGGGTTCTCCAACGGAGATGACCCTCAATTCGGTTGATGATGCTTTCGTGCTTGGACAGGTGAAGTGAGAATTCACGAGAAAACTCAAAAAATTTGTGGGGTTTGGTCAAGTAAGTGCTACAGTGCTCACGTTATTGAGGACATAAAAGGATACTCTAAGAGCCGTCCTAGAAATCTTGGACTTTGATCCAATTTTCTCCTACTTTTTCACTCATCCCACTGTCGGGTGTTATAAAAACCATCGCAATGGACTTTTACAAGACTGATGCTGTAGAACTGCTTCTTCCCCCTCGCTTTGTCTCCGCAATCTCCAGGCCAACTGTACTGTTCGGCTTTGCCTGCGCATTCCTACTCTTTCAACTACTATTTTGGACGGTCCGGTACTCCCGCAAGACTACCAAGCCTCTTGCCAATATCCCTGGTCCCTCGGGCTGGCCATTAGTTGGCATTGGGCTGGACCTGCCCGCCCGGCCTCGGCAGCTGTTGAACCGCTGGGCGGCGCAGTATGGGGATACCTTCAAGGTTCGCGTGGGTTGGTATAACTGGGTGTTCTTTAACAGCCCAGATGCAGTCAAGGAAGTCTTTGATAGACAGGTAATTCCGTCCCCAAACGCTTACATCCTTCCCAACAGTACAAGAAGCAGAACCGGATGCTAATTGGCACATACGCCGCCATCACATCCGGCAAGCCGCCCCTGCCCATCGCACAAGAGTTTTGTCTGAGGGGTGAGGGTGTGCTTCCCATGACTTATAGTACAAAATAGAAGCGGCTTCACGCGTTTCTGAAACAGCTCCTCAACGCCAAGGCATCCGCAGCATTCATCCCAAGCCAGGAATTCGAAATCAAGCAACTCCTCTGGGATCTCAGCCATGAAGTGAACAATGAGGGGCGAAATAGCACCGATTTCTACAGACATATCCGCCGCATGACCTTCTCCATAGTCATGACATCGGCATGCGGGCTCCGAATCCCCAAGTGGGACTTCCAGGAAGTCCGCGACGTCGACGGCAACATGCGGATGCTGTCTATCATTCTGAGTCCTGGAGTCTTCTGGATTGATGTATTCCCGCCTCTGAATTGGCTGCCGCGGTTCTTGTTCCCCTCGTGGCCAAAGGCCAAATTCATGGCTGAAAAGATGCACAGCAACAAGATGCGGCACTGGAACAATCTGAAGGAGCGTATCGCCGCAGATAATGCCCCAGAGTGTTTTGCCAAGGATCTCATGGAGTCGAACTACCGCGAATATGGTCTGGAGGAGGAGAGTATCTCATGGTTAGCCAGCGCTGTCCCCGAAGCGGGAGCTGAGACGACCGCCAGCGCGTTGAATGGCATGATCCGGTACCTGGCAATGTTCCCAGAGGCACAGGCACGGGCATTCGAGGAGGTGACGCGGGTCCTGGGTGATGAGCGCATGGCGACCTTGGCCGACGAGCCGGAAATGCCCTATATCAAGGCTGTTATCAAAGAGACCCTGCGGCTATGTCCGGTCGCCACTACGGGGCTGCGGCGCATGGCGGATGGGGACGTCCACTACCGCAACCATCAGATTCCTAAGGGTACCATTCTCCTCGCTAATTTAAATGCTCTGCACTGGGACCATGAACGCCTCCCGGATCCCTTTAGCTTCAGGCCTGAGCGCTACCTTAATCACCCGCAACGTTCCGCAGTGTATGCCGCGGGTGGCGATATCTCGCCTGCGATCATTTTACCTTTGGCGCTGGCCGCCGTATTTGCCCGGGGATTCACTTGGCTGAGAATGGGCTCTTCTTGGCGGTATCGAATCTCATCTGGGCCTATGAGTTCCGTTTGCCGTTGGATGAAAAGGGAGACGAGGTTCCCTTGGATATCAGCGACGAAGGCTTTATGGAGGGCGCGATCCGGGTGCCGAAGGAATACTCGGTACGGATTTTAGAGCGTTCCACAGCTCGGTCGGACCTAATACGGCAACAGTGGGATGAGGCATAGCGAGATGGGTATGTTTTGCGAGGGGTGCATGTTGATGTGAATGGAGGAGTCCGAGCAGCATCAAAGAAGGTTGAGTAGATGCAAATATTGACATCCTATGTGAAGGATTGAGAATTTCTGCATCGAGATAATGGGGCTTGATTTGGGTACTTCTAAGCTGACTTTGATGGTCAAGAAATGATGTAGTTATCCACTCTCTTATTCTAACCATTCTATCCTGTAGGGGTAACTATAGTTACTACTTGGTCGTACGGCGGATTATAATTTAGTCACAACCTCATACATCTACGTGCGTGTCGGAGCTCGCTTCAGTACTGTACCGATATCAGCAATACGCTAAATTAGAGGAAGAGCGACTTCCAATCAATTTGCATATAAAAAAAAGTCACTCATGTGCATATGATGATCCCAGTACTTGGAAGAATGGGCATTGGAACTATCATAGTAGAAAGTCATGTAACAAAAGCCAAGGTTCCTGTTTGGGGCCATATCCCAGTCTGACACTTGGTCTCGAGGTCAGGTTGTTATCATACCGCACCATATTGAGCATGATTGAACAGCCAAATAACCAACAGTACAAGATTATCATATCTGACAGAGCCACTCTTTCAGTGCATGTCTTGCTCGCACCTCGACTCCATTCTCACGCCAGAAGTGGCCCGCGCCATCAATCATCCGAAACTGGAACTTACTGCGTTCCATATTCACCATTTTATCTGACCACCTCTGCAGTTTCCCAGTAGATGTGAAGGTATCCTGGTCCCCAAACAGCGCCAGGGTATGATGCGTGCTCTGCTGATCTGCTGGACGCGGGCAGGGGATGTGGGGGCCGTTAGGGGTCTCTGTTTTGAGATTCAGCGATAAAGTCGAGAATGCTGTCAGGAATTGGCTAATCGGGGGCAAAAGCGGAGACACGAGAAGATAGGAGATAGATGTCGTCAATGCACCGAGGTCTGGATCGTCGGCCAGACTGTGACTCATTTGAAGTTTCTCCAGGGACAATGCGGCTATCCGTTTTGCTGTGTTCCTAATCTCGTGTATGGGTGTGGCTCTATTTGTAGAGGTTGTCGTTGGCGTGAATTGGAAAAAGCCGAGCATGGTATCGAGGGTCGGTACATGTGACGCAATCAAAGACCCATATGAATAGCCACCAAGGATAAGACAAATATCTGGGCTATTTCCTACTCCGTCGATGGCTTTTTGAGGCTTTGAAGGGTCGACTTGTTCCCTCGAGGCCAATACGAGCTTGAGAAAGTGCAGATATTGCAACATGAATCCGTAGAACGACACATAGTCACCAAGCTCGGGCTTTGCAGTCCAGCTTGTTCGTCCTTGAGAGTTACCCGCTCCACTATTTGTTATTCGTTAGCAACTTTGTCGTGGCGGAGTGTTAGCAATGAATGATTATACCGAAAGTTGAAGGTTCCCAGGATGCAGCCAGCTTGTATAAGCTCACTGCCAATGAAATCGACGACTGGATCATCGTAGCATCCTCCTAGAGTTGCGTATGGGTGCGCGACAATGGCACCGCGGTTGGGCCAGGTTGTTGGTGATTCTATATTTTGAAGCGCGGGCGGGAGATAAATGCGGCATTCGAGTTTGTTGCCATCGTAAACAGATGGAAGGAAAAAGAGAGGCTTGCTGTTGGAAGATCCATGACCGGGTCTAGTTTATTTTATATTTCTTTGTTTTTAGAATGCAAAGCTTACGGTGCGCTGTGCTGTGCTGTGCAGTGCTGTGCAGGAAGAGGTCGAGGGGCGAGGTTTCGCTGATCCGCCCACCCTAATAATTCGGAAGACCAACTAGACACAATTTAAACATCGTCAAGTACAAGTATGCGAGATACGGGCATATAACGGGGAATGTAACAATCCAATTTATCGATATGAGATGACAACACTAGAAATACATTTATAAGACGAAAAGATGCGGTTGGCTGGAAGATGCTATGTAAATCATGCAATGGGCTCTGATTCATTTAATGGTACTAGAGATCCTGATCAAGTTAGCCATGACGGATCTGGCTCATCATCTTCCGACGTGGCATCGGAATGATTAGGGTCTGCATCCTTGAGCAGATCGGCTGGAGGTTCTGGGTCGTCATTTTCCAGCTGATCCGCACGGGTGTCCTCATGTTCGACCTCCAACTCGTGGTCTATTAGATGATCTTTGGGGGATATGGAGTTCAGGGGTGCATCATCTTCATGCACCGGGAGGCCGAAGGCGGGAAGAAGCAAGCCCCTTGCCTCTCGCAGGGCCTCTAGCTCCGCTGCAATGCAGCAAACTAATAGCTTCCAGTCCTTATCCTCAGCAAGCTCCAGATGTGATTCGATCCGGTGAGTGGTACTCTTTAAGTCATCCAGAATACTTCTCACCAGCCCGTCTTTATAACCTGTTGGTGTGGACACTTCTGACTCGGTCGTTGGTATGGTCATCTCAACATAATGCCGCATGTTGGCTTGCAAACGCTTCTCGAAGCCAGTAACAGCGGACACCACTTGTTTCCATACTCCGCCTCCTTCTTCTAGTGCCAGTATTTCCGTATCCACTTGCTGTTGCCTACTGTGCAAACCGACTTGTTCTGTGTTCCAATGCTCCTGGGCCATGTCAAGTGTGCGACGTTTGGGATTCAAAGAGTGAAAGGAAGATTCGCCTGAGCTTTGCGATAATGGTTGGATAGGAGGGTCACGGAGGTAATTTCGGATGTCGGAGTCGAGTAAAGACAAAGATTGAGTATAAGAAGAGAGCTTGGCATCGACCGAGTTGTTAATATGTGATATCTCGTTCTTGAGATGCCGATGTTTAGCTTTCATCTCATACAGCCTGGTCTCCAATTCATGAATGTCAGTCTCGAGATTCCGAGCCTCTTGTTCTAGCTGCTTTGAACGTCGGCTCTCCTCGTCTCCATGTATAGTAGTGATAGCGTCTTCCAGACCATTCCTTCTTGAGAGGAAACTTTGGATATCATGTAGCGCGTTCTCTCTTTCATTGGTCTGAGATATCAGAAGCTCGCGTTCTTCTTCCCGCAACTTCAGTAGATCATATATTGATTGAAATATGCCCTCCCGGGCAGCCCGAAGCCCGATTTTCTTAGGCGTGGGCTGCCTAGCAGGCACCGTGGAAGGGGATTGTGATCGGACCGCACTAGACGACAATGTTGGGGTCGAATTTCCGGTCGAGCTATCGTCCGCTTGCAGCCCGGAGAGAAGGCCTTCGCTTTGAGCATCGATCAGGAGTTGGAGATTGCGTTGTATGTGTTTTGCCTGACGTTCAACATGTAAAAGAGGGTCATGGTAAAACATTGAAATTCGAGCCGGCACTGGCGGCAGCCTCTTACTATCGAAAGATTGTTGAAGAAGCGTCGACATGACAGAGGAAGGACCGTGGAGGATGGCCAAGCTTCGACCAGAGGAATGGCTAGAGCTTTGTCGCGGCAATCCGGCGTAGGAAGACTATTTAGCGGTTTTAATCTAAGATCGGATCAGAAAGAAATAATCCACTCGATAGGTGATGGGCTGTTTACCGCGGACTCAGGCAGCTCGCAGCTGACCGAGCGCCATCCACGTGACCCGTCATGTACAGTCAGCTCCGCTCAGGCGTTGACGTTGCTCTCGCGCCAGCAAAGCTTCTGACGACTGCTCCCAGCTTCCATTCGTATGTGCACTTCATCCATTTCGTCTCTTTCATTTAATCAAATTTCGTCTTTCTTGTCATATTCTCATTATTTGGGTGACTAAATCTCCCTTGACACCTTCTGCGCTGGTGCTGATTTGCTGTTCTAAGCTCTCTCCCGATTGACGTTGCTTCATCACAACAGCAACAATACACCTATCACTCCTCAAATTCCGTCCAGAAACTCGCGACGCGAATCCTCTCTCAATAAAGATGGTCGGACTCGTATCGGCCGCCGGTTTGGTTGGCTTCCTCTCCGAGCCTGACCCAGAGCTTAAGGTCTTTGCTTTGAGGACATTGGATTCTCAAATCGATCATCTCTGGACAGAGGTTGTCAACGCAGTTCCTGAAATGTGAGTGTGTTTTGACTAGACTCGTGAGAATGAGCATTATCTCGGTTTTTGCGTCATTTCTCCCGAGTCTGACCGGCTACTAGGCCCCTGCTGACTATCTATCTAGTGAGGCTCTTTACGAAGATGAATCATTTCCGGAACGCGGCCTTGCAGCACTAGTCGCATCGAAGGTATATTATCATCTGCAGGAATATAACGAGAGTATGGTTCTTGCTCTAGGTGCTGGAAAGCTGTTCAAGTTGGAAAACGGCGGAGAGTATGAGGAGACCATTATCGGTATGTTGAAGAAGGTCCACAGCATGTCTCTCTTTGATACTAACATGTTTTGCCGTGTAGCTAAATGTGTCGATACCTTTGTCTCTCTATCTGCCGCTCAACGGCCTATCGCGGGTGACCAACCAGCCAATCTAAACACTGCATTCCCAGCATCAGGCGACGGTGCCACCAGCACATCCGCCAGCCTCACTTCTCCTATTACACCTTTTTCCAAATCCGCACTCCCTTCCAAATCGTTACTTTCTCGCGCGGAGGTTCCCGGCGTGGACGCCGCACACCCTGGTGGCGATGACACTAGCGTTCAGCACGAGGAAAACTCTCTCGTGTTGAAGCGTGGTGTCCAGGGACAACTGCAGACCGTCATTGAGCAATTGTTTGAAGCATGCTTCAGACAGAAGCGATACCGTCAAGTCATTGGAATCGCCATCGAGGCAAAGAACTTGGATGTGCTCCGTATGGCCATCCTTCGCGCCAGTAGCGACGAGAAGCAGGAAGATGGTGACTCCCATGGTAGCGAGGAGCTCATGGAATATGTCCTGGATATCTGCATGGGCATTGTCCAAGAACGGGCGTTCCGCAGCGAGGTTCGTTCACCAAATATATCTACCATTTTACCTGAGTCGGCTAACCAAGGCTTAATTTTCTAGATCCTCAAACTAATTTTGGAACTTCTTAATGAAATCCCGGCACCCGACTTCT